CCCCTGGCTGGCGGCTGCACCTCCCCTCCCATGGGGGACCCTGACATCTTCGCGCGTCACGAAGCAAAGATCACGACGGGGCGGCCTTCAGAGGAGGTTCTGGTATTTCCAGCCTCTGGAGGCCCTCACTGGGTCCCAGGACCGTCAAGCAGCGACTAAGGGTGCAAAAACAGCCCGGGGGAAAGGATCGGGACTTCTATAGGGACCCCGTATGGGAAAAGTCACGACGGCGCATCTCTGGACCGCCAACAAGTCGGGCGGCAGATCGTCCGATGCGACTCCGCCGTAGCGAAGACCCAACCAAATCGGGCAGGCCCGGGAGGAGGCCAGGATTGCTCCAGAGCGATCTGCCCAGGCCTCCGACGATGTGCTTTTCCCAGCCATCCTGTGGTGTTGGGTCCTCGTTTTGAAGAGACAGCGCCCCGCGTTCCGTCCTCCTCTCCTCCCCCCTCCCCCTCCTCCCTCCTCCCCCTCCTTGCCTCTGCCCTCCGCATGTCTCTGTTTCGGCACGCCCAGCACAGCGCTTCGTGGCTCCATAGGGAGCTCCGCCGAATGCCCCAGTGAGGGGGTTCGCATGGCGCCACCGCGCCCATTTCGGCACACCCCTCACGCGTTTCGTGGCCCCATCAGAAGCTCCACCGAAGGCCCCAGTCCAATGCGGCACACCTCTCACACGCTTCGTGGCCCCATAGGGAGCTCCACCGAAGGCCCCAGTGGCAGGGTTCGCATGGCGTCACCGCGCCCATTTTGGCACACCCCTCACACGTCTCGTGGCCCCATAGGGCGCTCCGCCGATGGCTCCAACGGCAGGGTTCGCATGGCGCCACCGCGCCCATGTCGGCACACCCCTTGCACGTCTCGTGGCTCCATACGGAGCTCCGCCGAAGGCCCCAACGGCAGGGTTCGCATGGCGCCACCGCGCCTATTTCAGCACAACGGTCACACGTTCCGTGGCCCCGTAGGGAGCTCCGCCGAGTGCTCCAGTGGCAGGGTCCGCACGGCGCCACCGCACTGATGTCGGCACACCCTTGACGCGTTTCGTGGCCCCATAGGGAGCTCCGCCGAGGGCCACAGTGGCAGGGTTCACATCGGCACAACCCTCACGTTTCGTGGCCTCATAGCGGGCTCCACCGAAGTCCCCAGTGGCAGGATTCGCATGGCGTCACCGCGCCCATTTCGGCACACCCCTCACACGTTCCTAGGCCCCATAAGGAGCTCCGCCGAAGGCCCCAGTGGCAGAGTTCGCATGGTGCCACCGCACCCGAGGGAGGGAGAGAGGGAGGGAGGGAGGCATGGAGGGAGGAAGAGGAGCAGGAAGAGGAGGAGGAGGAGGAGGAGAAGGAGGAGGAGGAGGAGGAGAAGGAGGAGGACCAGTGGAAACCCAAGAGCCATCAACGATGTTGGAATTAACCCTCCCTCCAAGCTCGCTCTTCATAAGCCCCTACAACGGTTCATTGCCATAGAGGGAACTGCCTCGTTGGAAGACAACCGTTTGAAGACCCTGAAACGTACCAAACCATAGTTCCCTGGATGATTTAAAAGCCACGCATCAACCTGATTGTTGCGCTTTGGCGATCCAGAATCGTGCCATAACGCCGCTTTTGGGACTTCAGCACAGCGAATCAACATACCTGTTGCGCCCGCATAATCCAGAATCCTTCCAAAACGCCACTTTTGGTACGTTGATCATGGGAACCCGTGAACTTCTTGCAACTTTGAAAACGAACGTGCGCGGCGCTAAGGCGAGAACCACATTTTGAAAAGGAACCGCCCTCAACCCGTGAAGCTCTTGCATTTTTTCAAAACGTATGTGCGCGGCGCTAAGGCGAGAACCACATTTTGAAAACCACCCGCTTTCAATCTGTGAGACTCTTGCCATTTTTAAACACGAATGTGCGCGGCGCTAAGGCGAGAGCCACATTTTGAAAACGATCCGCCCTCAACCAGTGACATTCTTGCAAATTTTGAATACGAATGTGCGCGGCGCTAAGGCGAGAGCCACATTTTGAAAAGGAGCCGCCCTCAATCTGTGAAGAAACTCTTGCCATTTTTAACACACATGTGCGCGGCGCTAAGGCGAGAGCCACATTTTGAAAACGACCCGCCCTCAACCAGTGAAACTTTTGCAAATTTTGAAAACGAATGTGCGCGGCGCTAGGGCAAGAGCCACATTTTGAAAACCACCCGCCCTCAATGCGTGAAACTCTTGCAATTTTTAAACACGAATGTGCGCGGCGCTAAGGCGAGAGCCACATTTTGAAAGCGGCCCGCCCTCCATCGGTGAAACGGTTGTCACCTTTAAAACTGCAGGGTCGTAAATGGTGAGGAAGTCTCAGGCGAAACGCCCGGCCCGCCCTAAAAGCTGGCTTCGGGGTGCGACAGGGAGGAGTTATTGACAAGGAGAAGAAATGGAGCAGGAGGAGGAGGAGGACCAGTGTACAACCAAGAGTCATCAACGATGTTTGAATGAACCCTTCCTCCCAGCTCCCTCTCCATAGGCCCCCACAGCGGTTCATTTCCATTGAGGAAACTGCCTCGTTGGAAGACAACCGTTTGAAGATCCTGAAACATGCCAAAAGATCGTTCTCGGTTTTTCGACGCCATGTATCAACCTGGCTGCCCCGTCTTGACGATGCGAAATAGTAACAGAGCGCCATTTTTGGGATTTCGACACCGCGACTCAACATAATTGCTGCACCTGCATAATCTGGAACCCTTCCAAAACATCATTTCTGGTACGTTGATCATGGGAACCCGTGAAACCACTGCAAATTTTCAAAACGAATGTGCGCGGCGCTACGGCGAGAACCACATTTTGAAGACCACCCGCCCTCAATGCGTGAAACTCTTGCAAATTTTCAAAACGAATGTGCGCTGCGCTGAGGCGAAAACCACGTTTTGAAAACGACCCGCCCTCAATGTGTGAAGCCCTTGCGAATTTTTGAATCGATTGTGCGCGGCGCTAAGGCGAGAGCCACATTTCGAAAACCACCTGCCCTCAATCCTGAAGCTCTTGCAATTTGTCAAAGCGAATGTGTGCGGCGCTAATACGAGAGTCACATTTTGAAAACGATCAGCCTCCAATCCGTGAGACTTGCAGATTTTGAGAACGAATGTGCGCGGCGCTGAGGCGGAAACCACATTTTGAAAAGGAACCGCCCTCAATCTGTGAAGCGATTGCGAATCTTTAAGACGAATGTGCTCGGCGCTAAGGCGAAAGCCACATTTTGAAAACCACGGCGCTAAGACGAGAGCCATATTTTGAAAACCACCCGCCCTCCATCTGTGACACGGATGTTACGTTTTAAGCTTCAGAGTCGTACATGGTGAGGAAATCCCAGGCGATAACGCCCTGCCCTCCCTAAAAACTGGCCTCTGGGTGCGACAGGGACGAGTTATTTTTATGGAGAAGGAATGGCGGCGGAGGAGGAGGCGGATGATGATGATGATGATGATGATGATGATGATGATGATGATGATGATGATGATGATGATGATGATGATGATGATGATGGATGATGATGATGATGATGATGATGATGATGATGATGATGATGATGATGATGATGATGATTGATGATGATGATGATGCTGATGATGATGATGATGATGATGATGATGAGGAGGAGGAGGAGGAGGAGGAGGAGGAGGGAGGATGAGGGAGGAGGAGGGAGGAGGGAAGAGGGAGGAGGGAGGAGGGAGGAGGAGGAACGGAAGGAGGGAGGGAGGGAGGGAGGGAGGGAGGGAGGGAGGGGAGGGAGGAGGAGGAGGAGGAGGAGGAGGAGGAGGAGGAGGAGGGGAGGAGGAGGAGGAGGAGAGGAGGAGGAGGAGGAGGAGGGAGGAGGGAGGAGGGAGAGGAGGAGGAGGAGGGAGGACAGGTGGAGGAGGGGGAGGGAGGAGGGAGATGAGGAGGGAGGAGGAGGAGGGAAGAGGGAGGAGGGAGGAGGGAGGAGGGGGAGGGAGGGGAGGGAGGAGGGATGAGGAGGGAGGCGGAGGGAGGAGGAGGGAGGAGGAGGGAGGAGGAGGGAGGAGGAGGGAGGAGGAGGGAGGAGGAGGGAGGAGGAGGGAGGAGGTGACACCTGGGAGAGGCCATATTATTCTGACACAGAAAACGGACCAAGGCGGTGGCTGACGCGAACGACGGACACCCCAAGGACCGAAGGTCAGTCGGAGTCGTCAGACTCCGCAGACCTAACGCGAGCAACCCTAGTCAGAAGGGGGGCATCATCCTCCTCTTGGAGGAGTCGCTGCCTGACTGACCTCAGCTGCTCAGTGGGGCGACTTTCCAACGCATTGGCAAGAGAGGGCCTGCTGGAGGCGAAAAGGAAACGAGCAGCCTCCTCCTCCTCCACAAAGGTATCCGAATTCCTCCTCCCCTCCAGACCCGACTGAACCAAAGGCTCGGGTGGCCTCGGG